CATCATTTTGAGCTTTACCCCTAATCTATATATATAAAAATGAATTGCTGTTCGTTAGTCACGCTAAAACTCGATAACGGCTGGACCAATTTTGCTAATCTTGGTCTTGAATTATTTGTGGAAGTCCAGAGAAGGTTTAAAAGGTGAATAAATATGAAAGTTGTTAACTATCTTTCAGATTATTTTTATGTAGATTGATAAATCTTAAGTTTTGTCACAAATTAAATTTCTGAACGCGACCGTAATATTTGACATTTAACAATCAACTATATGTAGTTTAGGTTTTTTATTTATCGATTGAGGCAGTACAAAGTCTGCTGGGTCAGCTAGTTAAGTATAAAAATTTTATGTAAAAGAAACAAGGAAATAAAAACATTCTGTAAATACGAAACATGCTAAGCCATCCATTACATATAAAGTAATGTACAAGGATGCTACGACAAGGTATTCAGTTGATAACTATTAAAACAATAAAACGCAAGACATAACAATTATGGAAGGGAGATCATGAGTAAATGAAATCAAGCTAATATAAGAGTATAGAACTAGGTATATGGTAAAAAGTTATATATGTAACAGATTTTGTAAATCTTTTATTTAAATAATTATTGATTACCATTTCAGAAAAGTCCGTTTTGTAGGTTATTCTCACTATCTAAAATATCGATACCATCTCCATTGAAGTTACGTTTAAATTATTATTTAATATGCTCCGATACAACTGAAGTACCAGCCACTGTTAAATGTTCCTTGTTCCTGTACATAAGTTTTCTTTTTGTTTATCTAACATATTTAGTGTAACAAATACGTATCGACAAGTATTTTAAATAATATACAAAATACTTTTCTCGCAAAATAGAAATAGGTATTGTTTATTTTGTAATTACATTTTAAATGCAAGTATTTGCTAAAAGCAAACATACGATAGCGGGGTATTCCTAGACTTTGTAAATGATTTCCGTAGTATAAACCATGAAGAACTTTAAAAAAAAAGTGTAAATGTGAGATGTAAGTAAAAACTACTACACCTAGTTGTAGATTATCAAATACAAAGCAATATGTGAAAATAGGTAATGTTCAGAGTACAAGCTGTACTATAAATATATGAGTCCCGCAAAGAACCATACTTGGATTCTTGCTCTTCCTCATACAAGGCGTACCTAATGAAAATAAAGGCGGAGTATGTTTGTATGTACGAAAGTTCACCGTTTTCTAGAAAAACGTAGGTAAAGGTAACTGCAACTTCAATTCCGGCCCTGGTAAAGAAATACGACCCGCAACGCTGCCTCAATCAGCTGGTGATTACCAACACAAGTGTGGTATTTGTTTTGTATTTTTTTGCTCGTGTAACACAGAGCCGGGCAAACTCGGCTCTTTTGCATTCCGAGTGCTCCTCAAGGTTTACCAAGTAGCTCCTCATTGATCCTGCGAGTGCGAGTGAGATGATTCTTTCCTTTTCTTATCCCTTCCATTTTGTAGGTGAGTCCCCTCTTCCATATCCAAACGCAATAATTTTGCGAACGTAGTAACGAATATTTTCGTAGGTATTATTTAAGTTGCCAGAGTGGCTTCGCTCGTCTACGGAATGAAGGGGCTTGATATGGGAGTGGAAGGGAGAAGAAAAAGACAAAACAAAATTATTCATTACTGCTTACTCTCGTGCTCATTGAAGGGTATGGAGTGACCCAAACTAACCTCATGTAGCGGCTCCTGCGAAGTTAAAGTTT